ATGAGCATCACTGAATCCTTGCTGCTGCTGGCGGTGGGCCCGGAGCCTGTTGCTGCCGGCGGCGATGGTACGTCTTCCCGAGGAAGGCGTCCATAACACCCTACACCTGAGTAACCTGTACTGTAGTAGGTGAATTCATTGAAGTTGACTGAACTTCAACTGTCATTGGAAGGGAAAAAATGGTTAGGACCACGACTGCTTGAAGTCTATTATTGTTCACTGGGAAAAAAATGTTTATTAAATTAAAAGGTGATTTGTTGTATTTCCAAAGCATCTGGTTATTGATGCAATGGCTTGTGATGCTATAGCTGCTGTTCATAATCAAGAATCTTATAGAACTGAACTTTATATTTTATATAGATCCTTGGACATAAACACAGGAAGAGACTGTAATTCATTTTCTGAAGTTTCTTCTATGTTGCCAAACATTTAACTGTTATCTGCCGATACCTTTTTTTCTAAATCATGTAATGTATCTTTCTTTATATCAAATTTGTTTCACCAATTATTACTGTTATAATTGATGTTTATTATTTTTGTTTGTTGTTCTTACTTTCTGATGAGAAAACACAGTTTTCATTGTACTGTTACTGATATAAAAGCCTAAAACGGTTAGCTCTAAGGCCCAATGGGTACAGAAATTTGAATAAATATACATAAAATGATAAACTTGAAAAATCTCCTTGCTTTCTTTTCTGTGGAATTTTGGTCCACTATAATTTTCCTTGTTCACTTAAAAGGGCAGGGGTTTGAAATGTTATGTATATATGTGAAATTCTGTCCACTTATATGCCAGTTGCATAAAATAAACTGTACTTGTACCATATCAGTATTTCTTCAATTTGTGTAGTTGAGAAATAGATTATTCCTATAACCATCTATGCTTGTTCCAGTATCTTCCTCCATTATTGCTTATACCTCTAATAACTTGCAACTTGGGTAGTAATATTAAATAGGATGGTTCAGGCTCCAGTCAGTGACCGGGAATATAGAGCAACTCTTCCTGAAACAGCTGCAATGATTCAATTGGCTTCAAGAATGATAAATGAAGGTCGAGGGATGGATTTAATGCCGAGGGAAGCAAATCCAGATGCACCAATAACTGCCTATAGGTGGGTAAATATCACTATTTGTTTTCCCAAATCAGGCAACAAAAGATTTTTGGACTTGTTTAATTAATGATCAGCATAAGTACATTTTTTAGAAACATCTCTTGCCTGTACAATGGCCAATGGCCATTTCTACTCTATTGGTGTGTGGAAAGTAGCACTGAAATATATAGATCATCAAATTGTGTTTACAGGGTTTTATTTATCTCACTTATGACTAATCTTGCCAATTTTGCAAAACTTAAAGCTTAGATGACCTTTCTTTCCTTCTTTTCTTAGACTCAGGGTAAATGTAATTGTATTAAGCAGTGTTGAGGTGATGACCAGTCATTTCTTCCTCTCTAGGTGATGTGGTGACTAGTTGACCACAAAACAGTGATGCAAGAGAGGGTTTGTCTGTGTCTGCAACCTTGACTATTTGATTTATCCCTTTGTTTATAGGAACTACTACACCATTTCTCTTCTATTTTAGTTTTGTATGTTCTCAACCAAGTGTGATCAGATATGCTAAAAGCAATTAGTATGCATAATAATATAAAGACACTATAATACTGTTGTAAAACTTAAAGACAGATAAACACAAACAAATAAAAACATCAAATCAACTTTGTGGTGAACTTTGTGGTCAACCTAGTCGGTACTTAGTCATCCCTTTTTTTATAGTAAATCACTGAGTAAATAAAAAAAAATTATAAAAAGAAAATAAAAATAGATGAACAACAGAGCTTCCAAACTGTATAAACGACCACTAGAACCCAACTAACTGAAATAAAAGAACTAAACTCTCCAATCTCCATACACATAAACTGACCATCAGTTGATGAGTAGTCATCCTAGGCAACAACATCATGGGCATTAATTGATTAGTTACTGATGCAGCTCGTATAGCTCTCAAACTAACTAATGGATTGACTAGTTGTTGACTTCTTGATGCTTTGATAACAGTGATCTAAAGTCATGATAAAGGTTTATGTGCCTGTATAGTATACAAGTACAACAAATTGCTACAGTAGTACCCAGCATCATCATCCAAAAATAAATGTTAAGTGATACCTTCATCCTTCAATGAGTCAAGAAAAATGTGTAGCTGGGAGTACTTCCCTTTTGAATGAACCATAGCTTTAGTTTCTGAAACACAATATCAAAACAGATGCTTTGCTATTAAAATTTCTGGTGTTTCTTTCACCCTAACTACCTATATATGGAATGTTCTCTATAATGTTTTGTGTCTCTTATCTAATCCTTTTACTTTCCAGCTCATAAACCTCCTTGGAAAGCAAATTATTTCATAAAAATGGGCCCCTGGTAAGCTAAACTTGCAGTGAGGGATGATCAGCATTCTAGTTGTTTCTTGACAAAACAGACAATTCATGCCTCAGGTAGTCATCTTATATTTTGTGAGGCATTCTCTAGTGTTATTGCCCAAATCATAAGTGCCATCTCAGAAAGGGACTGGGGTCTAACACTTGGTCCTATGAAAAGTCCCTCCCAAAGAATTAGTGAATTGTGTACCCATCAGATTCAGAATGAGTGAATTGTGAGGGTTTCTGAAGGGTCTGACATTCAAAATTCTTTCATCTCCCTAATCTGGACATGGGAGGGTTTGTTTAAAGTTTTAGCATCAAAGCAACCATTATTAATTTCCCATTTATTAAGATTTCTCCAAAGCCTTGGATGCCAAAACATCAACTTGTTGGCCTTTCTTGTAAAAAACATTGAACCATTTCTTCTTTGATAGCCAGAGTAGGTTCCCTGGAAGATCACCATTGATCAGTTGGTTGGAACAGCACAAATCTGTACTATTATTAAAAGTACGACTGAGGGTGTAGAATTTTTCTTGACTAAAATGCCCATATTTGTGTATTTAGTCCATCTCTAATTATGAGGGTTGAAAATTTAATTTCAATTATTGCTTTTCACCTTATTTAATCCCCTCTCATTAAGTCATATATTTAAGGTATCCACTCTTATTCTCTTTTATTAAAACATATATGCAAGTTATTTTTTACTAATAAATGATACTAATTAGATCTATGTCCAAAACTTTTAACAATATATAAGAAGGGAGTCTAGGAATTTTCTCCTTTTTTAAATTTTTTATTCTTTTAATTCCATGTCATTTATTGAAACAACCAATGAGATGCTCTCCTTCCCCATAGAAAAATTACCTAAAATCTCTCACTCCCCCCCCCCCACACACACACAAACGTTCCCAATAACCTAAATAATCTCCTCTCCTAAGATTTCTCCAAAACTAACTCCCCCACTTTCTCCTAAATTATATCTAATTCCTATATATCCTCTCCCCCACTTTTTATCTATTATATCTATATAAAGAAAGTTTGAATTAAAAAATTTAAGAATTATTTTAACATTCTAATTAAATTATATAATAATGAAATTATGTTACAGGTTATTAAATTATGTTGATAATTTAATATTTTAAAAAATTAATAATGAAATTATGTTATAATAGTATATATTACAGGTTATTAATTTAATAAATAATTAATATTTTAATATTTAAATAATGATATTATTTAAATAACTAAATTATTGTAAATAACTAACTTCACTTATATCAATTAATAATTTGAGAAAATAAATTTCAAAAATTAATATTTATTAATAATAATTTTAAACTCTTAATCTATATTTATTATATAATTATATATACTAAAATCAATATTTCTTGTATTTCAATAATCATTTATTGTTTTCCGTGATAAATATGTTTTTAATAATTATGTATAAATTTATTTTGTTTTTTATTTAACATAAAACTCACAATAATTATTGGAAACTAAACTACTATTATTGAATTTTTTAAATTTAATTTATTGTATTTTTGTTATAGTTTATCAATTAATATTTATTAGTAATTAAAATATTATTTGAGATTATACTATTTACTGATTAAAATCAATAATTAAAATCAATAATCTTTTACTATTTTTTGTATTTTTATAAGTATTGTATTTGTTGTCTTATTATTAGTTATTTATTGTATTTTCATTATCAATATATTTTCAATAATTGTGCATTTTCGCTTTAAATTTTCAATAATTATTGGAGATTAAACTATTGTAATTTATTTGAGATTTAGACTATTAATTTAGCTGAAATTAGGAGTGTTCACAGGTTGGTTCAGTTCGATTGTAGGCTATTTGGCCAACCAAATCAACTTGGTAAGGTTGGGGAGATGGTCACCTGAAATCGTCTGACCATTTGTGAAAACCAGCCCTCTTGAAATATCATGAATTGTCCGTGTAGGTTGAGCGCCTTTTTCAAGGAAATATAGAATAACTAGAACATTTAAATAAGTTTGATTCTTTATCGGATCATAAAAACCCACTTTCTGAAGATCTCTTATCTTCAGAACCGAACATCAATTGCAACAATTCGATAGATGGCTCATTGGGATAGATGTAGATGAACAATGCCCCCCCTAGAAACGTATAGGAGGTTTTCCCCTCGTACAACTCGAGAAAGAATGATTCGAATTTATGTATTGTTAGTCAATTCAAAAGATTTAAAACTTAAAAATTTGAAATTAAAAATTAAATTTATGATATAATATATTTTGGACTAAGAAATATGGGAATTTTCCCACTTTCCCATATTAAAAAATTATTTTTAAAATATAAAATATTTATATATATCTATGGTCAGGTCGTTTGATTTTGGTTGGTTTACAAATGGCCAAAGCGAAACTGATCCAACCTGGTCGGGTTGGGAAATTATTGAACCAAAGCCAACTCAACCTGGTTGGGTCGAGTTGATTGAGTTGGTTGGTTTCATCAATTTGATGAACAACCCTAGCTGAAATTAATTGTTGTTATTTTTGTATTGTAAAAAATTTATTAAAAGTAGTATATAAAATATAAATAATTATTAATTATTTAAAAAGTTCAAAATATAAAATAATTGTATACTTTTATGTGTTTCTATTGTTTAGCTTTCGCTTAACGAATCCCGTGCATCACACGAGTCCCCACTAGTATATTTTAAAACGAACTCAAAAACAAAACCATTCTTTATCCAAGTGGTGACAAAGCAATTCAACCATCTAAATCAAATTGGTCAACCCATGAAGTCATAGTTAGATAATAAAATTTTTAAAATAGAAATAAATATGGAAAATTACAAAAATGTAGAAAAATTAGACACATTTATGATATTTTATTAATCAAATTTGTTGAGAATGCTTAGATAGGGGTGTTTTAGCCTTTTTTTCTCTTCTCTTGTATTATCTCTGTATTTGGGCACCCAAGTAGGGGCTTACTTGTTATTTTTATCTTTTCAAAATATAAAGAACTTTTGAGGGTGTGAATAGTAACAAACATACACCTCTCGACACATCTCTCTTCTTCTTTTCTTTTCTTTCTTCTAAAACCCTAGATTTACAACTTGGTATCAGAGCAAGTAGAGGCACTTGGGAATACCTCTCCTACTGATCCTCTCCTATGAGATGAATTGTTGACCTTAAACCATCGTTGGATGATGTCATCCGCACAGGTGTTTGTGGTAGTCAATGAATCTTACATGGTTTGATTCGCCCTAGTTTTAGAGGATTTTTGGTATGACTCTTGTCCATGTTCGAAGCTTCTATGATTTTTAGTTGTTTATTCAAGGATAAAATCGTAGAAATTCTAGATCTGATGTCGAGCCTTATACATCATGTATAATGAGTTCTTCTGCTACAAAACCTTGACCATTCAGGTCATTTTACACTTTGGGAATGACGGGAAGTGGTCCCATAATTTTCTAAGCCCTGCATAGTTTTTGGGAGATTTTCTTCTCCCTCTATTTTGTTGGCAACCTAGTTTTTTGGCCTCCTTTTGTCTCTTAACCGTGTGGTGACCTAGGTTCTTGGGTCTTTAGCTTTGGTTAAGTATTGGGGGTCTTTTTTTGGTTTGCAAGAAAGTGTCTTGATAGAATATGGAATCATCTAAGGATGTACAAATGGTTTCTAGTGTGCTCCTGGGAAGTTCAGATATTTCCAGTGGGATGATAACTGCTATTAAACTTGAGGGAACCAACTTTTTACAGTGGTCCCAATATTCTAAACTTACCATCAATGGGAGAGCTAAACTAGAATTCATCATAGGAAAGAAGGTGAAGCCAAATCTTGAAGACCCGAAATTTGCAAAGTGGGAACAAGATAACTCCCTTGTAAAGTCATGGTTGATTTTCTCAATGCAACCTCATATTGTTCGAAACTACATGTTTCTCCCAACAGCTAAAGATATTTGGAATAGAGTTGTTGGCACTTATTCCCAAGTTAACAATACTGCTAGAGTATACCAGCTTCGGAGGGAAGCTTGCAGTATGCGCCAGGAGGAGAGATCTATTGCTATGTATTTCTCTTCTCTACAATCTATCTGGGAAGAAATGGATCACTTGAAAGCTCTTGCATGGAAGGACCCTGAAGATGGTGAGAAATATCAAAAGTACATAGAGGAGAATAGAGTCTTTGATTTCTTGGCTAGCTTGAATCCAAAGTTTGATTTTACCACGCAACATATTCTAAGTGCTGGCATTGTCACTCTTGCTTCCGCTTACTGTCTTGTACAAGGGGAAGAGAGTCGAAGGACTGCCATGATGCAACCTCCTGTGGTTGATCACTTTACTTTTATGTCATCTGGACATAAGCAAAATACTAGCAAGCACCCTATTATCGAGAAGGCCGAGGGTGTTGTTTGTGATTATTGCAAGAAGCCAAGACGTGCTAAGGAAAGGTGTTGGAAGCTCAATCCTCATTTAAAACTGGAGAAGTACAAAACTGGGAAGAAGGGCAATGCTCACTTGGCTACAGTTGGTAATGATGCTTAATCTTCTGATGTGCTTGACTCCTTTGATGTAATAAACAAACTCAAGAATATACTGTTGCAGCTGGAAAAGAGTGGTACATCCTCCTCAGTTAGTTCTGGACCTAGAATCCATCTAGTTCATATGCCAACATAGGTATTGCACTTGCTTGTTCTACATCTTTTAGCCCATGGACTGTAGACTCTGGGGCCAGTGCCCATATGACTGGTATGCCTTAACATTTTACCCCATATAAGTTAACCCCAGGGTAGGGCAAGATTACTGTTGCTAATGGATCTCAGACCCCTATTTCAGGTCAGGATGAAGTCAAACTCACTCATAACCTTTCTCTTGGATCTATTTTTCATGTGCCCCAATTACATAAAAAATTGTTGTTTGTTAGTTCTCTTACAAAATCCCATAATTGCTCAGTGACTTTTTTCCTACCCATTGTGTTTTTCAGGAGTTGAGCATGGGGAAGATGATTGGAAGTGGGCATGAAGTTGATGGAGCCTACCTCTTTGATGGTCCTTAAGAGCATGGACTGTCGAGCCAAACTGAGTTTTGTTCAAATGAGAAAATGAGTCTTTTGAAATTATGGCATTGTCATCTTGATCATATGTCTTTCAATTTTGTAAAACTTTTGTTTCCAAACTTATTTGACTCTATGTCAAAGTTGAACCTTGAATGTGAAGTTTATCATCTATCAAAATCCAGGGGATTGGATCGTCGCCTGAGTACCTTGGGAAGTCAAGTTTTCCGGGTCGAGTGCTGATCTGTTTGTGTTCTCGACCGGTAACTTCCTGATCGCCTTCTAGGTTGCTGTCAGTGGCGCCCCTCCAGATCTTGAGCCAGTATGGCATTCAATGACTCCTTGATGTTTTAAAGGTCAGTGGTGACCTTGTGCAGGCCGATATCCATTTGATCGACCCTGTCTTCCATGGAGTTGGATCGTGTGCTTGGCATTATCTCTGATACCAGCTGTTGGGTTTCAGCCCAACACAAACACTGATTCAAGATAGTGTGATCTCCTAGAAAAGAAATGAGAGAGGGAAGAGAGAACAAAGAGAATTCTGGGTTGAATCTAGGTAGCTTTCTTATTGCTTTTCCTTTTATTTATAGATGTACAAGTTGGTAGTTGTAACAGCTCAAGAATTCAAGAATCAAGATTACCACTTGTCTCTTGCATAGCTGGATCTTGCACAGCTGGTTTTAACCCATGTGCTCTTTTCCTTGGGTACACTTGTTTGATAACTGGTTTACTGGCTTGGTCTTGGTTTCTMACATTAGGTCTTTTAAGAAGTTCTATTTAGTTTCAAGTCTGTAGGTATGAGTTAGAATATTCAAGTGTATTTAGTTTAGGAGCCATATAAGATCTGTAAAAGTGGTCTTGGGAGTGGTGAACTGGATACAGAACTTGTCTTTGGCATTTTTCTTGCACAAAGTGGTCACTCTTAGATTGAAACCCACATTTTCATGGTTGTCATCCCAATATTTTTACCAGTGCACCAAGCAATGGCCCCTATTTACTAGCATGATATACAAAAGGAAAATGATTCATTTCTCAACTCAATTCAACTTCAACCACACAGCCTTGCACTTGGTCAAGAACCAAAAAGGAAAATGATGCATTTTTGGATTTGTGATTCTTCTTTTTGCTGAATGATTTTGTAGGTATTACTCTCTCTGTGCATATTTGGGGGATGATGACATGTTTAGTTCTGATCTTAGTGATGACCAACTTAAAATGAGACTTGGGCACATGTCAAACACACCTTGTCAGGTAAGCATATCTTGTATACATTTCTTAGTTATAATATAATAGAAGTTTTACAGTGAGATCACAAGTCTTTTAAATATTGTTAATTTGAAGATTCTTTATTTTTTTATTTTCAATTCATTTTCTTTTAGTTTATAATAATTACAACTTATTTTACGAACAGAAATGAAGACAGAAAACAGAGGAGCCCCAAATGATACTTGCTTCTCTCTCTCTCTCTCTCTCTCTCTCTCTCTCAACACACACACACACACACTGACACACCCCTATGATACCCGGTTACCTATACAAGGGTTGTCATATTGTGTCTAGTACTTCAAGCTTTATGTTTCTGTATCTAGCAACCATGTTCAACAGTGGCTTAACATATCTGGGCAATATAGAAATACACAAACTATATGAAGCTACATTAATATCATATTCAGCAGTGTCTTAACATTTCACCACTGATGACCATAACAACGCTGACAGGATCACCACCAACTCTCCTACTCTGATCGTTAGAGCAGAAAACTAGGATTGAGTTCAAAAAATACCTTGCAAGATCAAAACCCAAAGCTGAAGGAGTGGATATGTGAAACTGGAAGATCTTTTGGTGGAACAAACATGGCTTGAAGCTCTTCATGGAGCCATTCTCAATGCGTTGACAGAGGTGACAYAAAACATTGATTCAAAGTACCCAGTTGTCATTGGCTTTGAAGGACCATTTGTTTCTCACAAAGTCAATCCCAGAGAATTCTCTACCTTCATTTGCTCCAAAGTCTGTGTCYAAGGCATCACTACCAAATGTACTCTCTCTCCCTCCTATTTCTGCACAATAAAATATCAGGTGGTAATACTGTCTTGTTTCTTGTTAAACTAGAGATTCTAGTACCAAGTTACAGCTTTTTATGGAACTCTAAGACTTTTTGAACGTGTCACCTAGTTTTCATTGGGGAAGAAGGGGGGAGCTGATCAGAGTTTAGACTTACATTAGGGCAAATAGCCAAAGAAGGGTAAAATAGGGATTTTGAAAGTTTAAATAGGTCATTTGATGTCAAATGAAAGTGGTCTTCAATGTTTCACTAACAGAGGGTATATTTAAGTCCAGTTGGGTTGGCCCATAAGCTATATTTAAGTCTATTTTTAAAACTGAAGGAATGTTTAAGTCAAGGGAAAATCTATGTTGTTGGAAAGACATGACACTGGAAGGGCTATGAACAATCAAAACCCTCCTGTGAATTTTGATAAATATCATATGATTGGATACCAGTTTTATGACACCAGTTGATTGGTTCCAAGTTTTTCCAGTATCATAGTCAAACCCTAAGTCAATTTATGAAAACTCAGGGCAAGTTTGAGTCTTTTACCCTAAGTTTTATTAATATGAATAAATAGGAGTATAACCTAGATTGGTGGGTTTGGGGGAAGGTTTGGCCTTTACCCCAACCAACTAAGTTCAAAGAATCGATACACCCTGATATGGTGCAAGGGGTGTATCGGTACTTTGAACCTTGCACCCATCCGTTTTTTAGTTAGGTCTTAGGCCTGTCTAACCCCTGAAGTAGGTCAAACCCCCAAAGCCTTTTGATTTAGTGTATCAGTGGGTTACTGATACATGATGTTGCAACCAACTAAATACTAGATGGGTTCATAATACACGCACCCCACCCATGGCCCAACTCTAAATGCAAGTGCAGATTTATTTTTTGGGGGTTGTGGAGTAAAGCTTAACACCTAGTTTTGTCAGAGTTGGACCACATTGGATGGGATGGTTGAACCATCAGAATTGGGAACTGTTAGCCAAAATGGTTTTCTTAGGCTTCTCAGTTCTTAGAAATATTGACTTGGTCAGAACTATCTCAAATAGGTGTCATCATCATCATCCAAGGCTTATATGGGGTCATCAGCTACATGAATCCTGTTTCGCCATTCCGTTCTGTTTAATGCCATATCATCATAATCATCATCCATGCCTTATTCCAACTATGGGGTTGGCTGCACGAGTCTTGTTTCGCCAATCTTTTCCATTTAAAGCCATACCCACTGTAGTTTAATTCCATATCCATTGTTAAATTATCAGTGCTTAAATAATTTCTTACTACTTTGACCCATGTCCTTTTTGGTCTACCCCTACTTCTAGCCCCTTTAACTTGCAATAGATCACTTCTTATGGGTGCTGTCAAAGGTCTTCTATGTATATGACCAAACCATCTTAGTCTACTTTCTCTCATTCTATCACCTATTAGAACTACTCCCAGGTCCCTTTCAATGACTTCATTTCTGACCCTATCCTTTTTAATTCTTCCATTCATCCACCTCAGCGTACGCATTCCTGCCACTCTCATTCTTTGGACATGTTTCTTGACTGTTCAATGCTCTGCTCCATACAACCCATCTCAAATAGCTTATTTTGGTATAAAATAGCTTTAAAATATAATTTGGAATTATTTGCTACTTAATTTTTCTTTTCTTTTTTTTTTTTGCATTTTTTATTTGATTGAGTCAAATGATCAAACCAAAGAATTGAACCATTCAACCCATTACCCAGTGACTGAAATCTGTTAATGTGCTCAAATATCCTGAAATCCTAATCTAYCATACACAAAGGTATCTCTTTGCATTCTTGGAGAAGTCTGCTGCCTAGTTTAGGAACCCAACCAGCTCACCTGTCTACAGTCTACACTTTTCTTTTGGTGAATGTCTAATTGTCTACAGTCTACACATAAACATCATATGTTTTCTGTAGCCGAATCTCAATCCTTTCTTAATGGTTAGTATTAATAGGAGAAAAGTATTCTCCTATGATCACTAATCACAACCATCTGATGAGTGGGAAATAACTGCAAGCTGTAATCTCATTGAGAAAATGATATAATGTGACTGCATCATAAATTCATGATAAAGCCTGTATGAACCACTCATTTTATCATAACCACTGATTTCTTTAATCCCTGAATTAACACTATGTCCCCTACCGATTCTATCAATTGGGCCCACCTAACATTAAGCCCTAAGCTGTTTGGATGAAGCAATTGTGATTGTGATTACAGGAGGTGGCTCGTTACAACCAATTTGAGCTCTAACAACGGTAAATAAAACTCATTGGGTTTCTGTTGCAGGTTATTTTTTCTATGACTGATGAGTATGTGCCAGAGTATGTTGATAAGGAAGCATTAGTGGAAAGGTAAGAACTCTTTGCAGAAGAACCTTGCAACATGGTGATAAATTGAGACGTATCTGTGCAATGATTAATGAATAATGGACCTTGTTCGCCCAGCAGCATGAATCATCTTATGAGCTACCAGTAACATCTGTGAATTAGTCTCATGCAGATTGTGCAATGCCATGGGAGGGGCAGAGAAAGTTCAAGTTGAATGGGGAAACCATTCCTTGTCAAACAGAGTTGCAGAAACAGTACAGGCCATAGTAGATTTTATCAGAAGGGAGGGGCCCAATGGATGGGATGATCCATGGAGATAATATAGCATTCCCATGTTGATCTGATACGCGTTCATTTTTTTAACTGGCTATCCAGCTGCCTTTATCGTTAATGTTTTCTGTTTTCTTCTCAGTTCTCCCATCGAAGATTGGGAGGATTGCAATCTCATTTCCTGTATTTTCTGTGATTCGGCTATATGGAGTGGGCACATTATTTTATTTGTTCTTGGATAAACATTCATTCGGTGTAATAATTAGTGTTTCGAAGTTCAATACTATTGGAGAGGTAGGAATCTTTTTAGGTCATCTCGAGATAACGCTTTGAGTCTCAATTAATGATAATGAGACACAAGGAAGAGTTTTCTGTACAAATTCGTTTAGCATGGGACTCGAAGCGTCCAATTAGCAGCAGTTGATGATATGTCTTAGTCCCATATATACGGTTTGTCTACTTGTCTTGTATGAATCCAGATCATCCCTCTCCCACATGACGAAATGGATTGAAAGGCCAACTCATTTCTGTGGTTGTCTACTTGTCTTGTTGTATGAATTAAGAAGCTTTTAATCTTCGATGATTGGCATATGCTGCATGGAGTTGAACAACTGATGTCAACAGGGGAATAGAACTGTCAATGGGTCGGGTCAACCCCAACAGAACTAAATCGATCAAAAGGTTCTGGTTCTGCGGCTTGTGTCCTAATTAATATTGGGCTGGGACTGGTTCTTAACATAGAACTTTCTTGGTTGTCTTGCGAGTTGTGATTCTTTTTTTTTTTTTTTTGTTTAAAATGGTTATTTTTATAATATAATTTCAGTTAAAACACTTTTTAATATTTAATTTTTTATTGGCGTTTTTATAAAAGTTAATGTCTCAAACCAGACCCGATTCATTGACAACTCTAGCGCTGAATGCCTATAAAACCGACATAAGAGAACATTGCTATGGATGTGTAAAACCGGCAATCGGCATGGTATAGACGCGCAACAGAGTTGTGGTCATCTGCCTTAGCCTTAACAGTTAATTCTTGCTAATCAGAGTGTCCGTGGACCCGATGCAAACAATGCAATTATTAATTAAACAGCTTTGGCATGGGGACACAGGATTGATACATGATCTAATGCCCCATAACTTGCCGTATCTCCTGTATTATCCTATTAGGATGATAAAGATGCACCAACCGATGAATCTTATGATGAAGGTTAGCTGAGTCCATGATTTAGTAGTTGGTCACAACTCACAAATCTCGCTCTTGCATCAATTAGTTAAAATGCAATAATCTCATATTCAGCCGTAATTATAATGGGGTTCTTTTTTTTTATTTTGTGTGTGTAAGAGATTGAAACCTCTCCAAGTTTGTCATAAATATTAAAACTTCCCCTCTATTTTCAATAACTAAGGCCTCCCTTCTCAAGTGATGTAATCAGACAAAGGCTTCCCTTCGGTTAATCATCTATCAAGTTCAGTTTGTATGTAACATTAAGTGTAGTTGAGATTTTTTGAAAACCCCAATTTTACCTTTTATGGTTATTTCCTTGGACAAAAGCCTCCACTCACGGAGATGACTCACCCTTAAGCAGAGATTCAAGTCTTCGGTTGAGTTCACTATACATGTTAAATAAACCCTTGAGTGAGAAAAGAAAAAGTTAAATCAAATAAAAGAAATCAGATCAAAGCATTGAGGCCATGTAAGCGATTTACATAAAAGATGATTTTTTTTTTTTTTGTTCTTTTTTTTTCCTGAGATGGGAACCAATCCTCCTCTGTAACACAAGGTCCATGTAAGAACCAAAGCAGGGCCTACAATTCCAATTACTTGCACCAAAAGAATGATAGGGACGAGGAGAGTTACCTATGATTCCCATTACCAATACAGCATATAGTAGTGTTAGCATCCACATCCCAAACATGTCTTGGCATGAGGAGGGATATAGGGAATGAGACAGAGAGAGCTATGAATAAAACAAATAAAAGCATAAAGTCCTGCTTCCTAATTACTAATTTTACTTGAACGACTCACTAGAAATGAAGTATTGAATTAGTCAAGACAAACTTTGCATTCACAGAGAAGTGATCTGCTTACTAATTCTGCTTGAACCCCTCATTGGAGTTTTATGTTTGTTCTCTGTAAGTTGTGTTTCTTAGTTTGATTGTCTATACATCTCAAAAACCAACCCGTTTTTGTTCTTAATGTATTGCTGAATCTTAGTAATCAAATCTCATTGACTCACTATAAGGTCCTCAGTAAAGCTTCCCATCTTCTTTGCTGTGGCATACAATAGAAAATACTTCAAAATCAACCAAAATTTAAATGAACTTTTCATGTACTTTGAAAATTTAAAGAACACTTTAGAGCAAAACTGTCTTTTTATTGATTCCATTAGATTTAAAGTCATGCTATTTTTTAGAAGGGAAGTCTAAGTCCATTGAAAAAAGAGAGAGGGTACGTTTTAGTATTTAGCAGAAGCCTCAAGGGAGGTTTTAGTCCTTTACCCTTTTTTCAGAGAGTATTGGTTATTTATGATTACTTGAATAATATGGAATCGCTTGCTCAAAGAAACACCTTACCCAGATAACACAAAATAAACGAGGCATTGAAGATTTATATAAAAAAAACTTATCACCTTTTTTTTTCGGGAAACAGCCCTTAGGCTTGTTCTGTTTTTCATTCAAGATTTACAATGTCTTTTTTTTAGAATTTTCAATACCTAGCCAAAATGTGAGACACCTTGTTAATACTCCGCTGAGTATTATATCTCACAGAGATAAGACCCCTTATCATAAACCTCTACTGCACCTCAAAAAATCATAAACCTCTACATTCTTCAATAATTGAACTTATCAACCACGAAGGTTCTGCTTCAAATTTTTCCAGACACTTCACCATACCAACTGTGTCCCCTTCCACGGCCATCGGAACATTTCCAACTTCAATCCTATACACCCATCATCAAATAATGTGCACATCATATCATATTGTTAGTTAGAACCTATCATTCAATTATGTAATCTCTTAATTTGATGTATTGATGAGACCATTTAAAGCTTTAATTTCTTCATCTGAAAGATAAATAAATACTTTGAATCTAAAATCCTAACAAAGGGGGAAAAACTCTATAAAACATGGTCGATTAAACTTGTCATCATCGATCATAAAGGTAGAAAGTAGAAACTAGTGGATTTATTAACATTTTTTCTCTCRAAAATATGGGCTTTGCTTTCTAAACTTAAATTACCCCATACTTAGAGTTCCAAATTTTTGTGTTTTTTTTCCTATGGGCTAACAACGACTGGACCATAGTTGTATATTCGCACATAATGCGCATATTGTMTACAATTAATTTCAGAAAAGCATWTAATATATGAATAATTCGGATTTTGAAAAATACAGGGCAAATTTTGGAAATTTTAATTATATATTTAATACATTATACACATAATTATATGTGAAATATGCTAAATTTTTTACTTCAAACCTTTTAAGTTAGAAAATATCTSATCAATCTTTTATTGTATTATATTCATTTGAATGATTTTTTCAATATTTTTTATTTTAATTTTAAATTACGCACAAACCATTTTCCCTATCATATTTATTTTATACATTGCACGTATTAATAGGTAAAAATAACTGTTTAATTGAAAAAAAAAGGACAGGAAAAACTATGAAAGGCCTCATACTCTAAAGCAGTCGGAGATCTACCATGCTAAAAACGAATTGAAAGTTCAAACACAAAGCCTGTGAGATTTTACTGCATAAATATTTGATGGTGCAGAGATATTCCAATAGAAATTTCAGAAAGCACAGGGTGAGCGAACCGAGGTAGAAACTCGAAATAGGGATAACAGGTCAGGTTCAGTACTAGTTTGGTTCAATCCTAATCCTAATTCTCAAATGTTTTCACCCAACTTGACCTGATTCAACTCAAAAACATGCCTTTTTTGAACTGCCCCTGACCTTATAAGACTTACTCAAATACTGACCTGACTCGCACACTTTTTGTAAGTACATGTAGATTATCATCATAGAACTTGGATAAGAGTCATGATAATACAAAGGCAATCACAACAAAACTTGTCATAAACACTTTATCCATCGCCAAAGGTATTGCAAATCGAAATTGCAGAACCTTGTGATCCCCTAAAATCGCATAAGGCTGTGTTTGGTAGAGGTGTAAAATTGAACCGGAGTAAACTTTACACCCAGGTTCGATTTTACAGACATTTGGTAAACATGTAATTTTACACCAAAAATTACATATTTACTATTAATTACATCTCTCTCTCTCTTCTTCTTCTTCTCCTTCTCTCTCGCTCGCTTGCTCTCTCTCTCTCTTCTCCTTTTCTCTCTCTCTCTCCTAACAGCAAGTGGTGTCTATCAGCGGCATCGGAGCAAATCTAGATGGGCGTTCTTTGCTTGGGCATTCTCCTTCACCGCTACCACCTCCAACGGGGTTTGATTGGGGGAACTTGGAGGCCGATTCAGATGGGTGTTCTCTGCTTGGGCATTCTTCTTCACTGCCACCACCTCCAACAGGGTTTGATTGGGGGAACTTGGAGGCTGATTTAGATGGGTGTTCTCTGCTTCTGGGCATTTTGCTCCTCCATGGCTGCAACATTTCATCATTTTTGGGTGTTTTGCTCCCGTTGGTGGCTCTATCTTTTTGCCCCTTCTCTCTTCTGAGCTTCTGAGAAAGGAGATCTTTATACCCCGAGTCCACCCTTCTTTCTCTCTCTCTCTCTCCCTCCCTGATAAATCTCCCACTGCAACAAGATATAACCAAACAGGACGAGTGTAAATGGGCACAATGGCCGATCCATATTTTACACTCTCACCAAACCATCGTTTCTCAACTCCATCAGTGTAAAAGTGCATTTACACCAGAAACAAATGCAGAAGGTTTGTAATRACGTCTGCAATGTCACTAGTAAGCATGAGTCACATCCATCAACGTTATTGAGAGCAGCCTGACAACAAAGAGTGCCACACGAGTAGCAACGGTGGAACTCTATTCATATGATTGCGTGATCATCAAAGAAGCATCACCACCCCACATAATAACGAGTAAGCTACCGAAAGGGGTTGTAGTTATAAGCATGCCCACATGAAAGTCTTCAGGAAGGGAAATTTTGATCCCAAAAGATTCTCATGAATATGTCAAAAACTCTAAGGAGCTTACCCGTTACGTGCTTAACAAATCAGAACCACCTTTTTGGGATAGGAAAATTCCTTTGTGTCGTTTTCCTATCTCCCTTTATAGTCTCACCCATTCATCTATA